GTGTGATAGAAGAAGCAGATTCTTTCTACATAAGGAAAGTGTCACATATTTATGTTGTTTTATGAATGAGTGTAATTTTGCAGCAGTGAACGAACATGGGCTGTTTTATGACTAGTATTAACATATTGTTTACATAACTCCGTTCGAAGTTTTCAAATCTGCTTAATTAATTTAAATTTCGCGTAGCCATTATAAAGCGGCTCCTGGATAAACTATGCGAAAGTTTGAGTAATTAATTATACGGGATGTGTGCGAATTCGGCTGTACAGAAAACAACAACCCTAGTTCAAAAGTTTGCTGAAACACTAAAAACTGATACTATCTTTGGGAATTTATGCAATCGTATTTATAAAAGAATACAGCTTCTTGAAAGCTAATAGAATTACTAAACTCATAATTTTATTGGTTATTAAATAATTCCCCAATTTTTAGGTATGTATTTTTAGGAGGAAAATATTGCTTTTTGTGAAGTGATCTCGCAATTATCCTAGTAGACAACAAACATAGTTGTCTGAAATTTTAAAGTTCTAAGATTCGTTGATTGGTTAATAAATGATAATGTGGAAATTCAAATCTGGTGCCTATGTTTTGCATATAAAGTAGTCAAATGAAATTCTTTTTTATACTATTTAATTTTACTGAATTTTCTACAATTTGTCACGGTGTTCCACTCACGTATTAACATTTAGACAGCAAATGTTCTTTTAGGCCAAAATTATTATTGACGACAAACAGGTGTCGATTAATTTTACTGATCGACTTTTCGAAATTACGAATAATTCTTCTCAGGTAAGGAGAAAATGCGACCAGAAATTGTCCCAAGTACAATTATCCAAAGAACATGTGATCGAGCAACTATCATTCTACTTATTTTATATGCAGTGTCCCTTCGGAGTGCCGGTGTATATCGCTGTCTACAACTTCCTATCCTTTATAGCTATAAGTAATATTTTTGTTTCCGTGTTATCCCATTAGTCCTTGTTCTGCCATCCATTTACACAATCTTTTTAGGTAAATGCTGCCTTATACTTCCCTTCCCTCCATTAGAATGTCTGACGCTCAACTTCTCGAGAGCAACTCTCTGCGGCTTCTCGGTCTCACGTTGACTGCTGACCTGAGATGGAATAAATACATCGAGTCAATAGCCTCGTCCACTGCAAGGAAAGTTGGCTCCCTGAGCCGCGCTAGGAAGTTTTTCTCCCCGGAGTCGATCCTCCAGATCTACAAATCCACAATTCGCCCTTGCATGGAGTATTGCTGCCATATATGGTCTGGTGCCCCGTCTGTCTGCCTCGGGGTTCTTGATAGGCTCCAGAGGCGGATATGCAATGTGGTTGGCCCTGTCCTGGCGCCTCGTCTACAGTCACTTTCTCCCAGACGCGCCGTCGCCTCCCTCTGTCTGTTCTACAAATACTTTCATGGAAATTGCTCCGAGGAGCTGCATTCGCTAGTTCCCAGAGTTCCAGCGCCCTACGAGGCTGGCATCCCGCTCTCACCCCTTCACTGTCGAAACTGTTAAATGTAGCCGTCTCTTCTACTCTAATAGCTTCATGTCTCGCACCTCTCGCCTGTGGAACTCCCTTCCCTTCTCCTGTTTCTCTGTGAGCTATAATCTCCAGCTATTCAAGTGTAATGTCAATCGACATCTCCAGTTGCCTTGATCTATCCACTACCCTCATTCTTTCTTCTATCACTCCTATCTGATCTTGCTCTAAATTTTCTGTAACCCCTTGCGTCCTAGTGGCTTCCCGCCTTGCTTGGGGTGAAATGCTTATATATATATATATATATATATATATATATATATATATATATATATATATATAATCATATGGCGCCTATAGGTTTTAACGAGAACCATCATTCTTGGAGTATCGTAGACTGAAATTACAAAAACATGTAACAAGTAATAGAACTCACATCACTTAGGGAATTTAAAATTTAAATTGGATATCATATATAACTCGAAATATAAATGATATTACCAAGATGCTGTCACTTCAAGCAAAAGAAAGATCCGAAACAATATTGGAAAGCGTAATAACAGTTACTAGACATGAGAAAACTATTTCCTTACATAATGTCTTCATATAAACATTAAAATGGCTAGATACAACCGTAGGTTCTTTGTTAACAGTTTCTTCTCTAGCACTCTATACTTGTTGAAGTCTCTTCTGACTTCTTTGTTTCCAAATAATTTTGAGGTTCGGAAATTTAAATGCAATCGTAGATTGTCAGGATAACAGAGCAGAGACGGCGATCGATTGTCAAAATACGAACATTAATAAGAGCTACAAAGAATAAGATGATATGGAGAGTCATGAACATACACATCCTGAAGAGACACTGCTCATACAAGATGATGAAGATTAGGGGGAACAGATGAAAATTTAGTGAAATATTTCTACTAGTTCGTCTTCTTCTATGTGTGTTATGGTCCAGTTACTTGTACCACGGTGATAGTCCAAGGTAGAACCAATAAAAAAGAACTCGGACACGGATATGGAATAACACAGATATATTACAAACAGGAATATATACAGAGAGGTAGAAAAGTGTTAATACGAACAATCAGGTTTAGTAGTAATTGTCTGAACGCGACTCTGTTTCGGACTGCCTCTGACTCGACTGACTGACTCGCTCTGACTGACTGACTCCTGACGGACTTCAGTCCAGAATTCAGACTGAACTCCCTGCTTCCTCTTGAGGCGCAGTATTTATTACGTATGGAATAGTCCATTATGTTATTATGGGTAAGGTCCCGTAACAATGTGTCCCCTCTCTTCAGCGATATGGCGATCATAGCTTTCGTGTGACTCGTAAGATTTATTTCCCTTTGTTAAGGTCGTTCTCCGTTCCGACGTCCATTCACACAAGCCCAGCATATAAGTAACTCGCTACCTTCCGCTATCTCTCTTGACCTCAGTATGTCTCGTGATGGTTACGTGTTCCTTCCATGAACACCTTCCAAGTCAGTTATATGCCATGCGTGATACACTGACGAGGCAGAATTTTTTTCCGCAGTAGGTTGCCATTTCCTTTTGCGTTAGACCGCTTGCCGGTCTGTCCTGCTATTTACCCATAGCTTGGGGAAGATGAAGATTCATATCTTTCCGAAGGGTATTAGCACTTAATTGAATGTCATGGATTCAACTAGAATTTGAACTCAGATCTCCGATTCCTCTATTTGAGCCGTTATCCATTGCTCAACCGTGTCTCCAAGGAATTACCGCTGCCTTTTTCCTATTCTGGGTATAAGTATTATTTCTGCTACCATTTTCGTTAAGACTTCATGTTGCTCCGTTCATGGAATTTTCAGTACTCTTCTGGTGAATTACATTTCTAGTTCCTCCTCGTCTGTGGGGAGGTTGTCCAATATTCCCGACCACTACTACTGCTACTATTAATAATAATAAAAGCCCTTATACTAAAGCATCCATATCTGTCATGGCTTCTAATCTTAATCGATTGTAATTGTTAAAATCTACATATTTTATCTTGGTTAATTAAGATGTGCTACAGTAAGTATCTCGTCCAGTAGTTTGTCAGATGCTTGACATTAAACAGTATGGCATGTCGCCTAGTGACTGATGTACTATGAATCGATGAACATCATGGCCAGTTGTCGAAAAGCTATTTAAGTTTGAAGAGTGAAGCAGCTAAGACGTTATGGGAGTAACGTCTAGATACTTGATATCAATCTAATTTATTTTGATCATTTCACGAATAGCAAAGTGATAATGCCACTAAGACACAGGCGCTTACTGTGACTGAACTAGAATGAAAAGATGTTAGTAAAGGGAAAGGAGAATAAATGAACATTATTCAAGCCAACATAAAGTGGCAAAGGGCGTTTAATTGAAATTTTGTACGTGTCAAGGAAGTAAGATTGTACGTGTCAAGGAAGCAGAAAACCGTTAGAGAGTTCCACAAGCGAAGAGTGCGAGGAAACAAATTATTAACATAGAACCTAGGATTATATCTTGAAGGTATTTTGTTACTGGGGTCCAAGTAACAACTCGCTAAATCTCGCACATTTGATACATCAGCTTGGTTTACATTACCGAAATGAGTTTCATAGTTGTATATCCTGAAACATAATCTTTTTGTAGATTCGTACCTCAGCTTTATATTTTTGTCTGCTGCTCTTTCATTCAAACGATCCTACTAAGTCTGCGGTTGCGTGTGTGCTTACGTCCCTCCGCCCGAAGCCTAATGATTTACAAGTTGTTTATACAGTAAGTATTTTTAGTTTAAGTAGACAATTTTTAATTAAAATATTTTTAAGTTAAAGACATACACAAAGAGATGCCGCTTTGCTATTTTGGCCAGATGTTTGTAGAGTAATTATTTATATTTCATCTTTCTTTAAACAAACAATATTTTAAATATTTTAAAAATATTATAAATATTTTAAAAATATTTTTGACATATTTAAAAAATATTTTTAAGTGAATAGGATTTTAAAATATTTTTGGCATATTAAAAATATTTTTAAGTTTACCCAGGAAGTTCTATACCTATTAAATTCAAGAAACAACCAGTAAAAAGTTAAGCACGCACTTTTAAACAAGACCAATGATCACACATATTGAAATATTTAACTGAATCATAATAAAATTAACTTTCATTTCAATGGAATTTTGAAATAAACTTGAATATTTTATAAACAGAACCGCCAGTGACCCAACGTGTCATGGGTAGTCTAGTTATTATTATTATTATTGATAATAATAATAATAATAATAATAGGTAGATAGATAGATAGATATGGACTGACTCGTTATCTAGGGCTTATCAACGTTTTGTAGGTTCTCTAAAGCCAGAACATATTTTAGACTATAAGAATTTTCATTTATCTTTTTTTTAAGATAATAATGATTTGGTAATTAACCCATAGCTAGCGGGGGATAGGTTGATTCATATATGTCACAATGGTATTTGTGCGTAGTGAATATATAGATCCCAAATGAATTTGAAATTCGGCTCTTTGATTCAAGCTTACAGTACCTGGTATTCCCAAGCGGTTACCCTTCTAGGTACTGACCAGGCTCAACGTTTCTTAACATTGGTGACCGTACGAGAACCGATGTTTCAGTCTGAAGTAACTTTAAGTCAGATAGATAGTAGAAAATCATAGTATAATTCTACTCTTGAAATTCAAAATGTAAAAGTAATAATATAATTAAAGTAATAAAGCCTGATAAGAATTCTGTTCAGAAGGAAGTCAGTGGTGAATCATAGATTGAGCGATACCAAGGGACATAAGTATAGCTGAGAATGAATGGAGAATAAGCAAGTTATCAAGTTTTGAAACATGATAATGTTGAAGAGGCTTAACAAAAAAATGTGTTCCTTTTGTTGTAGGCACATTTAGAAAAGTGGATGACAGATTCAGTAAATGACTGACTAAAAGGTTTGACACCATAACTCAAGAACAGAATTGACTACAATAATGTTTAACACCAACATAATAATAATAATAATAATAATAATAATAATAATAATAATAATTTGGAATAAGATGAAGCCTATAATTACCTAGGAATTAACGAAAGAGATGATGTAGAACATACCAAAAGAGAAGGTAAGAAAGTAGTACTACAGCCCTGTGCGTCTTGTACGGAATACCGAGCTGAATTAAAAAAAAAGAATATTAGTCATAAAAACCTTGGCTGTCCCTGTGGTACAATACAGCTTTAACATCCTTAACTGGACCATAGCTGACATTAAGCGAATGGACGCCAAAACGAGAAAGCTCCTTAATTGTTACCGCATACATCATCCCAAAGCTGATGTTGATCGCCTGTATGTGCCCAGATCTGAAGCAGGCAGAGGATTAGTTCAACTAGAAATCTCTTACAAAACTACACCAATTGGCCTTCAAAGATACCTGGAAACTACAGAAGACTGGATGATGATATGTGTCAAAGAACATGAAAGTGGTAAGGGTTTTTAATCCATCGTAAAGTAAGCCAATAAGTTGAAATTGAAGTTTGAAATGGGTGCAGAAAGTCAAGCACAATACAACGACTGAAGCTCCAAAATACTTAAAAAAGAAAGCAAAAGAAAATGCAACCGACCAGCTATAGAAATAATGGCAAGATAAACCTCTTCATTGTCAATACTCTGCCCGTACCAAAAAAGCTGATGTAGTCCAACCCCGTATCCATCAGTAGCTACGTAGTGCAGGGTTAAAAGCAGAAACCGAAGGTTTTATCCTTGCTGCACTGGACCAATGCTTGTTAACTAGAAATTATCAAGCATCCATACTAAATTATTGTGTTAGCTCAAACTTTAGACTGTGATAAATATACAGAAACAATTGATCATTTTGTATCATTTTGTGCGCTATTGGCACACACTTAATACATAAAACCCGGCTTGACAGTGTGGACCATTATCTTCACTGGAGAAATCTGCAACCTTTACGAGAAGGAAAGTGAAAGAAATTGATATGAACACCACTCAGACCCGCTTACGGATATCCTGTTACAATTTTATGGGACTACACAATACACACAGACAGAACAATCAAATCTATCCGCCCAGCTATTGTTATTAGAGACCACAAACAAAAAAGTGCCTCCTTATTGATATGACAGTCCCTGCAGACTGCAATGTATCTTTGAAGATCTTCAAAAAGCTATCAAAATACAAGGAACTTGGAATCGAAGTCTCAAAAATGTGTTCACATGGGAACAGCAACAATCCCTGTCGTAGTTGAAGTCTTCGAATTAATTGGAAAAGATTACAATAGACAAATTGAAAAGATTCCTGGTATCCTATACCTTAAAGAAATACAAAAAAATTGTTCTCACGAATACAGCCCACGACATACGAAGGGTTCTTATCTTTGTAAAATATATGTGTGTGTGTCTTTTAATTGTTCAGTGGAAAATGTCATGATACCATTTCTAACCTTAGGTCTCTGAGCGGGACCCGGAAATAAATGTGTACACACCAGAAATCAAAGGAAATAATAATAATAATAATAATAATAATAATAATGAAAGACTTGCATCGTAAAAATCAATATGAAGCCAAGCATGCCATCACTTCAGAAGTTTACGTTGCATGACACCTCAAATATTCGGCGAAATCTGCTCTCTGTCTGGGGTTATCGGACTCAATGAAGAGCGACCATAATGCGAGAACTCCGGCTAACTACAAAGACCGCACGCAAGAAGATACTGAAATAATTTTTCGGTTTGCAAAGATTGCAATCATCCAAACAACGCCGTTTGTGGTCTGTAGATCTTAAAGAAGATTATCCTCTTTAACATTTCATCGACTTGTTCCACATAGAAATGTACCAAATAAGAAACACCATATCACATGAGGACCTTCAACATGAAAAAAGATTTACACTTTTTACATTGGATGTAAGCGTTGGTTGAAATAATCCAGTGATGTGACCCAAAGAGTTGTGAGTTCAATCCCTGGCCACGGCAGAGGTGAACAAAAGCTTGGAGAGATGAGTTACTAAAGGGAAATAACTGAAACTGAAATTGAAATGTCCGGAAGCGGCATGGCACGTGGAACTAGAACAGAGTATCCCAGTGGACGAAATAAAGTTTTCGGGTCGATATTACCTGAAGAAAACCGAAGCGTACAACGGATGAAACGTTGTGAATATAACAACAAAGATGAGGATAGATATTAAAAAAAAAACGCATTTAACTCGAAGAGAAAATGTTGACGCAATCAAGATATTCAACACAAAATTCTCTCCAGCCGACTATGATCTTTATAAAATTTAAATGCAATGTCAATCGCTTTCTACTGTCCTCCTGGTTATTCTTCTGCTTTTCTCCCTCCTTACTGTTTCCTAATTCTTCCATACCCAGTAACACCTTGTGTATCAGTGGCTTCACTGCCTTGCATGGGGTGAATTCGATAAAAAAAAAAAAAAAATTCAAACAAAAAAAAAAAGGAATTACCCCCCCACCATCACTACTAGAAAGAACGATAACAGTTAGTGGACCCGAGAAATTTATTTCTCCCGAAATAAATGTTTGAAGAGAAAGATTTTATTAATTTTAACCAACAGTAAAGCTAGGCGTCAATGAATGTCGAATGCTTTCTCATGAGAAAACTCACTGTTGTTTTAACAATGCTCGATAAGGTCCAATGTAGGCCACTAGTTGTTACGGGGATTGCCCAATTAACACGAAGAGAAAATATAATCAAGATGTTCAATTTACACAGTCAAAAACCACAGCAATTGAATACTAACGACTGCAGCAGCAGCTAATATGGATAGAAAATGTCAATTGAATAAAAAATAATGACACAATCAAGATGTTAACTTGTTGTGACCAAGTAAATGGTTAAGGAAATACAAAACATGAGGTTGCAGATAAATAGTAAATTGAACAGTAAAAACAACAGAAGTCTGTTACACGACTTGGGAGTGTGTGTCGGTTGACCAGGCTTCCGATTATATCACTGTTTCCTCCAAGGCTTACTTTTTCTACTACCTTTACTGTAAGTAGAAGAGTCCACAATAGTCTCATTAGAGGGAATACACCACAACATAACATAACACGCCACATCAATAGAAGGCTAGGTAGAAAATCCCGTTCAATACGAGAAACAGCGATAACAGATACTGGACTGGAGAAATCTGTTTTCCAAAAAAGTGTTTTAAGGGAAAGATTTTATAAATCTAAACATGAAGCAGTACTGGATTCTCGGCCAATGAATGCTAATTTTTTACCTTTAGATTAATGGCTAATATTACCATTACCATTAAACAAATGGTTAGGTAGGAAACATCCATCAAGACAAGAAAGTGTGGAAACACTTAGTGGACATTACAAACCTATTTTCTAAAACTGTTTAAGTGAAAGATTTTCCAGATTGCAAACAATAGTTAAATGCTCACTGAATATCGAATTTCTCTTTATAGAGAAACGGTTAATCTCTCAATTATTTTTACGGTATTGGGAAAAGTGCTGGATTACAGAAAAGATTTACTGTCAATTCTCCAATGTCTGTCACTACTTGTTACTTCTATGAACGATTCAGTGAGTTAAAATAATTAAATTTTATATAAATATCAATTTCTAGTTTGTTTTTATTGGTTGCTGTGCAATGTTACATTTTTGAGCGACGTTTAAATGCCATGTGATAATGTGCAAAACAGAGAGGGAAAGCGAAACATGCGTATCAATGTGAATATAAGATTATTAGGAAGCATAAAGCTTACAAATAAAATCATAAGACTATTACAGAAAGGAAAGCATATTTGGTATCTTTCATCATTGATAAAAAGAATGTTGTTTAAAACACTTTATTATCTCCTCTGAGAAGTAAAGGAAAATCCGCACATTTTTCTATTTTTGATAAAATGACAACTTTTCATGAAAAATAAACCTTTATGTTATTTAAAAGTATTTCTCATCAGTATTTCTCTAAGATATAACGTAAAGGAACAAGATTAAATATCTTGGTACACATTACGAGGAAAGATTTAATACTCACAAAAGTATTAAGAGAAGGAGGGAGAGTGGGAAAGAGTGAACGAAATACATCATGCGTGTTTTTCTAATCATTTCACTCCAAACAAAGCAGCAATGACATTAGTACGCCGGGATGCTTAAAGGGAATGAAAGTGAAAGTGAAAGTGAAAGTGAAAGAGAAAACTGAGAATAGAGAGGATTGGGGAAAGAACAAAATATCAACTTAGTTCAAGAATTCAGAATATGGAGGTTGACGATGCATTTATATTTTTGAAGATTGTAGTTATCAGGGAAGCAAATAAACAGAAGGGAGTGTCACAGGCGAGGAGTCTGAGAAAAGATAATATTGGAGTAGAAGTAGTAGTTGCATTTAGATATTGCAACATTAAAACGGCGGGACCTATCTGCCAATCTAGTAGTACGGTTACATTCATGTAGTCTGGGTACCAGGGCAAAAAACTCGTTACCATGAAAATATTTGTAGAAATGAGTGACGGAGGCCCCGTCACGTCAGTGAGAAAGTGACTGCTGATGAGATGCCAGGTCATGATCGATTACATTACAGATTATTTTTTTGATTTTGCAAAGAACCTCAAGATGAATAGGACGAGCACCAGACCATATATGCCAGG